AGGCATCTCTATGACCTTGTTATTCTCTAACCAGGAACAGTTCTGAATGAACCCAAAGATGAATGCTTGAGATGGTTCACCTCCATGTTACTAACAGTAGTAAAACCCATGAAATAACTTGAATGTCCAACTATAGTGAATGGTTAGATAATTTATCAAGTATTCCTACTATGGAATACTATGTGGCTGTCAAAAATGTAGAAACATATTTATATTTTTAATTGTTCGTTAAAAAAAGTATTTTGCCAGGGCGCCTGGGTAGCTCAGTTGGTTAAGAGTCCGACGTCAACTCAGGTCATGATCTCACGGTTTGTGGGTTTGAGCACCGCGTTGGGCTCTGTGCTGACAGTGTGGAGCCTGGAGGCTGCTTTGCATTCTGTGTCTCCCTCTCTCTCTGTTCCTCCCTCACTCATGCTGTCTCTCTCTCAAAAATAAATAAAAACATTCAAAAAAATTTTAAAAAAGCATTTTGCCATTTCCTATTCAAGAAGGATCAGGACCTGCATTTATTTCCACTCCCTCCCCACATTCTTCTAAAAGGTCAAAAAATAAAGTCCACAAGCATGTGTACAAACAGAATGGAAGAGCAGATGACAATGACATCAGCATTTTAGAAGTAGGAAGGTGGACAGAGGAGTGATGACTGCTTTTAGAGCAGAGAAAGGGGAAATCAATGCACGAGCAGGGACCTCCTTCCCAACTGGGCAAACGCATTCAAAATGTAGCAGTAGGTAAACCCTCTGGGTTTAGAGCTACTGGGCATCTGTGAAAACAGGAGTGCAGATACCCCCCACTTAGGCACATGGAGATGCAGCTATTCCCTCTGAGTTCTACCCCCAGACCAACGTTCCCACATGTGCTCTGCCTCTGCTAGTCCCAAATGGATTGAGTCTGGGGAATCCAATCACGTGATTACAAGAGAGCATCAGAAGAAGCTTGGCAACATCAACAGTGTGGTTTCTGTCCAGACATCTGAGTGTCAAAAGAAAGACGTTCCTGAGGTTCAAGGTAATGGCCGCAGTAACAATGACCCCTGATTAAGCCAATGCCTGGTCACGTAACTAGTGGCCATGGAGGTGGACAAAGCTGTCCTTGCTTTTATATTACTAACTGACCACCAGTGGTCCACTTTTCCCAATGAGTAACTTATTTTCAAGAATGTAATTCTGTACATCAATTGTTGCATTATAGCAAAGCTAAGCAAGCACATATAGTAATGGATAAGAATAAAAGTGAAAGAATCCTTTATAAAATGCCAAGTATGGACAATATGGAGCAGCTGGAAATGTCTTACTCTGCTGGTATCAGGGCAAGTTGGCACCCACTTAGGCAAACTTTTTGGGGTGTCTACTGAAGTAGTCACATGCAACCCTGGTGACCCAGCGAAGCCACTGTTAGGTAAATATCCAAGGGACATGGAAGGTGTAGTCACCAGAAAACATGTCCTAAAATATTCATGGCAACTATTTTCATAATAACCTGAAACTAGGAATTATCTAAATGCCTAACACTAGCAGAATGGATAAATTATGGCATATTCACACAAATAAAGACTCTACAGCAGTGATTAAAAAAAAAAAAAACTACAACCACACGTTATGTGGATAAATGGCATACATGATATGAGAACACACCTCCTTCCCACCTCTTCCTGTCTGTGACCTATAGCTAGGGCCACGGCGCTGAGAGTTAGGCCTTGGGGTTGGGCAGAAAGGTCTGGAGGCTAAAGGGCCTTTGAGGGAGGAGGAACAGGAACCGGGAGCCACCAGGGAAGGGACCCCTTTCTGCCCATCTAAAGCAGGCTCCTGGGATCTCGATGGGAAAGTATAAGAACTAGGAAAGAAAAAAACCTGCTGGCACCAATCTCTGCTCTGCGTAGTCATTGAAATTAGACTTTTCAGGCAATGGGGTTGGAATCTTCCCCTTGCCAAGTGTTACAAAGAAAAGGTTTATAACTTAACTATTTTGTTTTGTTTTCTTTTTCTTCCGAGTTCAGCAATATCACCTTACTAGGACCCCAGGAGCCTCAGAGAGGAGGAAAGCATTTTTTTTCCCTTTAATAATGCTGCCCTCTGCTGCCCATTAGGAAATTCACAGGCAAAGGTTTGGTTTCTCTCCAGAGTTTGGTTTGATTTGATTTGATTTAGTGATTCAGATCCAAGATTGTTTGAAAAAAAAAAAAAATCTATTTTCTGTAAAAAAGTAAGTTGTCTAATTTAAAATAAAGTAATTAAATATTTTCTGTTTTTACATTGACGGAAATGCAGAGGTGATTGTATCTGTGAGGCTGATGAGTGGGAAATGAAGTGACCCTCTGGGGAAGTAAATCTGTAAGATAAGAAGAGCATTTGAAAAAGGGTAGGGCCTTAGCCTGGGTCCGTTTGCTGCAAATCCAGATGCCAGGAGTAATTTAAAAAAGTAAAAGAACTTGGGACGCCTGGGTGGCTCAGTCGGTAAAGCGTCCGACTCTTGATTCAGGCCCAGGTCATGATCTCACGGTTCATGGGTTTTAGCCCTGCATAGAGTTCTGAGCTGACAGCGTGAAGCCTGCTTGGAATTCTGTCTCCCTCTCTCTATGCCCCTCCCCTGCTTGCTCTCTATCTCTCTCTCAAAACAATTAAAAAAAAAAAAAAGTAAAAGTGCTTATCAAATTATATCCATAAATGTCCAGGAGCAGACTAGCAGCTAGAGACTGTGATGTACCCACATCATCAGGCAGACATGAAAGCTGAGTTTTTGAAGATTCTCTAGCAACTTGCAATTCCTCTACCACCCTGTGAATACTCAGCGCTCTCAATCAGGTGTGTGCATCAAATGCCCCAAAACTGAAAATATAGGTTTCCAGATCCCATCCAAGAAGTTTCTGGTTTGGTTGGACTGGGGAGTGGGTTGGGCATTGGAATTTTGGGAAAGGCCTCTGGGTGATTCTTCTCCTTACGCCTCTGATAGGAAAGTCTGAATTAAATGAAAAAAGCGGGATTCCAAGTGACATTTCTATTTCAGCTTTAACTCAATACAACATCGAATCACATGTGGACAGGAATACGGAGGAAGAGGGCCCTGTGTCTGGATGAGTTGGAAATATGCTCCCTCTTGCAAGATACCTACCAAAATTAGAATCATATTTGAGGATGCTGGGACTGTGTGCAGTATATAAATAAGTGTAATGTCATTTAATATGATAGTACTTTAAAAAATGAGTTGAGTGGTGTTTTCTAGCTGTTAGTTAAGCCAAATATCAGTGTAGAAATTAGCCTTCTGCAGCTGCACAGGCAACTGAATTCCCAGCTTGCTTGTGTGTGGCTTGGCTCGTCTTCCTAGAACCATGAAATGCCCCAAGGGTTGCTGATCTACCACTTCCCCAACCACCTAAGCCAGAAACAGTCCAACAGATTTGGACCACATGCTGAGGGGGGCAGGCAGCACGGCAGAAAGAGTCCTGCTCCACAGAGTCGAGAGACTTCAGGCCTGGTTTTAACTTGCTGCTAATTCACTGAGTGATCTTGGATGAATTCCTTCTCTTCTCCATAGATTTCTATAAAATGAGAGGCCAGGGATCCAGGCTTAAACACCTTCTGGGGTCAGGTAATATCAATGAGTGAAATGGACCAGGTACAAGACAAAGGGGGATAGTGAGGGCTGTGGAAAGTTGAGAGCTCATGCCTTTGTAAAGGGGTAGCCTCTACTCAGTTCCTGAAGATGTGTCAGGGTCACTGAGAATAGTTGTGCAGGCTGTGGAATGCACAAGGGCACTGCTTCAGAGGAGGTGTTTTTCACATCATAAATGTACATATTTATCAATGATGATTTCCTGGAGAAAATCTGTCAGGGCGCTTTGAAGAAAGAATACCTTCTAGTTTGCTCAAAGGTGACGTATGGGCTGTCAGGAGCCCTGGGTACCACATGGGAATGCAGCTCCAAAGTTGCCAGATTTCTTCTTCCTCCTCTGGAAACTAATTCCAAAGCATTTTTGACAGTTGTGGACTAAACAAAACATTTCTTGGGGCCAAATTCAGGCTGGGAGTTGATCTCCGACCCCGAGGAACTCTACATTACTGACATTTCAGAAACCCTCCTATTCTATACATATATGTGATCTTGAGGCAATCACAAAGAAAAACTAACTACCCGGTAAATTACATGAATAGAATAAGGATCGTGAATAAGGATCGTGTGGTTTTAAGAGGCATTATATGGATAGTAAAAGTAAATGTGCATCCTTTGAATGATGGTATGTACAACATTCCCCCTACCTATCGTCTGGTTAACTTTAATTCATCCTTTCTTAATATAAATGTTATTTCTTCAGAGAGAACCTCCTGACACTTCCATCTAAATTAGGTCCCTCCGTTGTACTTTCATAAAACACCTTACTCTCCCTAAGTGAACTTATCACATTTCTATCATCAGATATTCACCTGTGTGAATGTTTGCTCACCACTGGTGGAGAGTATGACCTGTTCCCACCGTAGCCCCTGTGGGGATAATGTCTGGCACATAGCACATAGCAGGCACCCAGTACAGGTTTACTGAAGGGTGGATTAGTCTCAGCCCCAGCAGGCAAACATCTTTTCTCATAAATGTCTCCCTGACCTGACCTTGCTGCTTGGCATCTGGCTTCTGGGCCCCTGACCTGGAAGGATGTCTGGTTTCCATTGCTGAGAAGGAAGCTCTGTGGCCTCTCCCCACCCCCACCCCCCTGCCCTTCCTTCACATATCTCCTGAGCTGGAGGAAAGACCCAATTCAGGCCATCAATGTCCAGGACATCCATGCTAGGCTTGTGGCTGAAACTCGACTGGATGAGAGTTGGGCACTAACATTTCAGGTAACACACACAGACGCCTTCTCTCATAGGAAGTCCACTTCATCTTGAATGCTGTGGGTTGGGGGAGTGTTCTGAGCACAAAATTTAAATTCTGTTCCCTGTGCATATTTTACATTCTGATTTTGTTTTATCTGAGTAACAAGATTATTATGATGCGAAGTAATAGGCCAGCCATCCTGCGGATTTATTCAAGGAATCTGGTAGCCTTCCAAAGCTAGTAGCATTGTTTGATGTTGAAAAGAACTCCCCTAAGGATCATCCTCAAGTCCCAAAAATATCACTGAAAGCAGCCGATTCCACAAAGTAGCTGAACACAGAAATGGAGCTAATGATCGCGGGGGAAGTTGCGGAAGAAGGAAAACCAAATCACACAGAGAGAACTTCCCATGGAGCAGAAGAGAAGCCAGGCAGGAGCAGAGAAAGGGACAGTAAGGACGGAGGAGGACTGGGGAGGGCTGTGGAGGCGGACATCAACAGGGGGAGGATGTCGGTCCAAAACTCCACCTCCTGCTCCTTCAGTTTCTGTCCCACGCTCACGTTCAAGTCCAGCTTCAGGTACTGCTCGCTTTGGTTGTAGGCCGGCCACAGAGGCATGCCTTCTCCATTAGGGTCCCTGGAAGTGAGGGCAGAAGACGGGGGTGATTTTTCTACTCCCGAACACTCAGCCATGGAGAAAGCCAGCGCTGAGGGGTGCTCACTTACCCGGTCCGAGCAAAGTTGGCCCAGTATCTCATCATCTTCCTGCTCAGCAATTTCTCCTCTTTGGTGGCTCCTTCTGAAGGAGATGATCAGAGAATCCGGCTCTCACACAGATTCGCCAGAAGCCCAAGGTGCCTCGGGTCTGCCAAATCACCTTCACACCTCCCTTCCCATTGAGATCCTCTTACTGCCCCCCCGCTCAATCATCGTGTTCATTTTGTATCTGCACAAACTGAGGCCCAGAGCAGCCAGGGCTCGCCCAAGGAATCCTGGCTTCCAAATGCAGGAGGTGATCACATAGCTTCCCTGTTTAACCAATGCTCTTCCAGCCATTCCCATGAGGCTGCAAGTTTCCTGGGGTCAGAGACCACCTCTCTCTCTTTCTACCACTCCCCGCTCAAACAATTAATTAGTTATTGCATTTCTCTATTTGAGAAAGTAATACTTGCTCAAAGGACAAATCCACAATGCAGGAAGGGTATCTGACGAAACTAAGTTTCCCTCTCGTCTTTTCCCTCCAGATACCCAGTTAGTTACCAGCCTCAGAGGTAACCAGAGCTACCAGCTTCCTGATTGTCAGGCTGGACATGTGCAAGGCTTTTGGCGGACACCTGTTTACACACATGGTATAATATGAACATATATTCTGCGTCCTTCTCTTTTTACTAAAACTGTATCCAGGAGGTAGTTCCACACTGTTGCTTATAAGCCTTCCATTTATTGCTATTTATTGCTCTATAAATGTATAATACATAAATATGTATATATTCAATTATATATGAATATATAATCCACGCATCCAATATTCTCTTGGTGGATCTTTGCATCATTTCCAATCTTTTGCTGGTAGAAGCAATGCTTTGATGTGTGCCTAAGTCTTTGCCGGTGTAAAACTGCACAAAAAAATTCTTTGCTAGGGTAAAGACTATCTGCATTTAAAATTTTCCATTAATATATGCAGTTCTATCTCCCCACACCTGCTCAAATATATTATGTAAAATGTATTGCTCTTCCCAACCTTGATAGTTGAGAAAAGGATTTCTCAGTCAAGGTTAGCATTCAGTCCTCTTGTTACGGGTGAGGTCGAGTGGATTTTCATGCTTAAAAGTCACATGTGTTTCTTTTTCCATAAACTGTCAATTTATATACTGCCCAATTTTTTACTGGGTTGTGCTTTTCCCATTGGTTTTACAACCTCTTTATATATATTATATACCATAGATATTTATAGATATATATACCATATATCTTTATCTCTCTCTATTTTTAAGTAGGCTTCATGCCCAGAGTGGAACCCAATGAGAGGGCTGAACTCACGACCCTGAGATCAAGACCTGAGCTGTGATCAAGAGTCAGATGGCTAACCAACTGAGCCACCCAGGCACCCCAAGAGCTCTTTAGGTATTAAGGAGGTTAGCCTTTGATACACATGTGGTTCATTATTTTCCTTTTGGAGATTCCTGTGCCCATCACATAGTATGAGCTCAGTGATGGCTGTTGAGTAATAGTAACAAGGACATTTATTAAGCACTCACTGTATGCATTATGAGAACTGTTTCATTAAATCCTTAAGACAACCTAGGAGGAAGCTGTGTTATTACCTGTATTATAAGGATGGGAATGAATATATCACATAATTAATAAACCTCAGAGCACATACTCCGGCGAAGGCTCTGTCCTCATCGTCAAGAAGCCAGCGTGAACTGGTTAAGAGCCTGTACTGTGAAATTTCTTAAACAAAATACTTTAGTGATATCTATTTTGGGTAGTTTCTATAATTGTTTCTATTGATAACCTCATATGACTGGCTTCTTATTTTAGGCACTGAACAGGTCATAAACTCAGGAACGGATGAGCTAACCTTGCTAGCAATAGTTTGCAAGCATCTACATTAGATCACCTGGGTCTGACTACTTTGGGCTGGAATTATGAAAAACATGTTTGTTTCCTTTTAAGGCCCTGGATGGTGGCCCCATCAACGGTTCTGGAAAGGGCAAGGAGGATGGTCAGAGAAAAGGAAGAAAGTGGCTCTAATTAAAAAAAAAAAAAATTAGATGGCATGAGTGCCCCCAAGTGCCCACCCCTTTAGGGTTTAGTATGAAGAGAAACACTTATCAAGCAAATGCTGGCAACTCCTTTTCATCTTGGTTTTTAAAGACGAGCGGGGGGGGGGGGGGCATTTTGCAGGGAATGGCTGTGTCTGTAAACCACTGATTAAATCCTAACTCACCAGTCCACTGGACTCTTCCATAATATTGGGCGGGTGAGGGGCTTCGTGCTAACAGCGGTGGGGTCATGCCTTCTCCCCAGCACATCCCAAGCTCCAGTCCCTGCAAGAGCCGAAGCCCCCGAAAGCCTGTTTCTTACCGAACATGACAATGTCGCCTTTCAGGAAGGCACCTCCAAAGACGAAGCGGATTTCATCAGTGTGATCAGCTTTCACGAAAGCCGGCCTTGTGTCCTTTAAGCACTGGGGCGGGTGTTGAAAGTCATAGAAGTAGACAGGTGCGCCAGCATCTGGGGAGGCAGGAAGGGGCCTGAGGCTGGTGCGCATGCGCAGTGGAGCCGGGGCCATCCCGCAGCCCTATCCTGCTGGTCTTGGCCCGACAAACCCATGGGTGGGACGGCTCAGAGAAGACCAGTGACTTGAACCACGCTAACTTCCCTCTTCTTTGCTGGAGGCCAGCACTTCCTTCCACAGCAGCCCCTACGCCCTTGCTAGCAAGAGCTCACCACCCCTCAGGCAGTCTGAGAGGGCAATAGTTTTCGACTTCTCTAAAAGGCTTTCTTACTGAGCCAGGACCTACCTCCCTGTGACTTCTCGTGACTGACTCTGGTTCAACTGTCTGGAGGTAAAGCGAACAAAGTGATTCCTTGCTTTCAACATTCTTTCATCTCTCTTCAGCTGAAGGGCTTTGTTTTGTAATTCCCCCCTTATTTCCCTGCATCATCAAATTTTCTCTACTGGCTCACTGCCATCACAGAGTACTTACAGATTCTCCCATTATCATGCGTACACATATGTGCAACACACACCCCAGCATACACATGTGCACACACACATGCACGGACACACACAGGCACACATACACATGCACACACACAGGCACACACAAACACACGTACTCTTGGTCTCAGCTTCCCCTCTGGTTACTGGCTTATCTCTCTAAATTCCTTGCAGCAAGTCCTGACATTACTCATCATCTCTGCTTCCTCTCTCCTTCTCTCTATTAATTGAAGTATCATTTATGGGCAATAAAAAAAAACGCAGATTTTAATGATACGGGTTGATGAGTATTTACAAATGCACTGACATTCTTGTAGTCACCATGCCAAGGTACACAGAACATTTCTATTAACCAGGAAAATTCCCTTGTGTGTCTTTATAGTCACTCTACCAAAGGGTAATCAGTGTTTTTAGTCCTGTCACCACAGATTAATTTTGCTTGTCCTTGACCTCTCTGAAAATGGAATAACACAATATATATACTTTCCTGTGTCTGGCTTCTTTTCCTCAGTGTAATGTTTTTGAGATTCATGCATGTTATTGCATGCATCAGTGGTTGATTCTTTTTTTTTTTTTTTAATCACCAAGTAGTATGCTACTGGATGGACATACCACAATTTATTTATCCACTCATCTGATGATAGACTTTTAGGTTCTTTCCAGTTTGGTGGTATTATGATTAAAGCTGCTAGGGATATCCATATACAAGGCTTTTGTAAGGACATATGTTTTCACTTTTCTTCAGTGAATATCTAAGAATAGCATGGTTGAGTAACAGGGTAGGTGTACATTAAACTGTGTAAGAAACTGACAGCTTTCCAGAATGGTTATATCATTTTATATTCCTTCCAGAAGTACATGATACTTCTGAATATTCCATATCCTTGGCAGTACTTCTGGGTATGGTTTGTGTGTTTTTTTAAGTTTGTAAAATTTTAAGAGGGAGAGAGAGAGCATGGGAGGGGCAGAGAGAGAGAGGAAGAGAGAGAATCCCAAGCAGAGGCCACACTGTCAGTGTGAGCCCAATGCAGGGCTCAAGCTCACGAACCATGAGATCATGACCTGAGTCAAAACCAAGAGTCGAGACTAAACCTACTGGGACATCCAGGCGCCTCTGTGTTTTTAATATTAGCCATTCTAGTAGGTGTAAATGTTTTCCTCATTTGAAGTTTATTTTGCATTTCCCTGATGACTAATAACATTGAGTACCTTTTCATCTGCCAAAACGCTTTCATATATCTTGTTTTGTGGAGTATCCCTTCAAGCCTTTTATCCATTTGTAATTGGACTGTTTGCCTCTCCATTATTGAATTGTAAGAGCTCTCATATCCTGGATATGAATTTTTGTCAGATAATTATGTTGTGAATATTTTGTTCCAGTCTGTGTCTTCCCTCTTCATTTTTGTAACAGCACTAGGTTTTTTTTTTAATGTAAAATACATATAATGTGAAATTCACCACTGTAACCATTTCAAAGTGTGTAAATCAGTGGCTTTCACTATGTTCAGAATGTGCAACCTTCACCAATATCTAGGTCCAGAACATTTTCAGCACCCCAGACAGAAGCCCCAGACCCCTTACGCAGTCGCTCTCCATTTGCTCTTCCCTCCTGTCCTTCAGAAACCGCTTTCTGTCTCTGTGGACTTGCCTATTCGGACATTTCATATAAATGGAATCACAGAGGCAGCCTTTTGTGTCTGGCTTCTTTCACTTAGCACGTTTTTGTGGTTCAACAATGTTGTAGCATGCACCAGCATTTCATTTCTCACTATGGCCAAATAATAATCCATTGTAGGTAGACACCACATTTTGTTTATCCTCTCATCCAGCCGATGGACCTTTGGCTTTGTTACCACTTTTTGGTCTCTCTAAATAAGGCTGCTATGAACATTCATGTCAGATTATTGTTTTCTATTGTCTTGGGTATATCCCTAGAGTGGAATTGCTGAGTTATATGGCAATTTTATGTTTAAGTTTTTGAGGAACAGCCAAACCATCTTCCACATTGCATATGCCATTTACCATTCCTACCAGCTGTATATGAGAGTGCTAGTCTCTCCACATTCTCAATAACATTGTTATTTCCTGGTTTCCATTTATTTATTTGCTCTTTTATTACAGCCACTCTAGTGGCTATGAAGTGGTATGGCACTGTGACTTGATTTGATTTGCCTTCCTTCATGGCTAATAATGTTGATCACCCTTTGGTGTGCTTATTATTAGTCATTTGCATATCTATTTTAGAGAGATGTCCATTCAATTCTTTGCCCACTTCTGAATTTTGTTGAGTTGAAGAGTCCTTCATATATTCCAAATAATAGACCCTTATCATATACAGTAAAACCTTGGTTTGCGAGCATAATTCATTCTGGAACATGCTTATAATCTATAATGTAGGTCCTCTTTGGCATCTTTTTGCAAAACAGCCTCATCTCATCACAGTTAAAAACTTACTCCAGCAGGTAACATTTGGAAACCATGAGCTTCTTGAACTTGGTAGTGAACATGTCAGCTGCTTTAGCATCTGAACTGAAAGCCTCTCCATGCCTCACAACACTATGGATGCCACTTCTCCTCTTAAAGTTATCAAACCATCCACTCCTTGCCTTGAAGCTTTCCTCATTTTCTGTTGACGTACCTGGCAGTTTACTTACGAGGTCAGTGTACAAGGCCTTTGCCTTCTCGTAGATAAAGTTCTTGGTCACAGTATCACCTGCTAGTTGCTTCTCATTTATCCAATCCAGAAGCAACTCTTCTACCTCTTCCAGAACATGTGGTCATTGCTTTAATATTATCCTGACTCCTTTTGCTGCATCTAGCCCCCTATTTCTTCTTTCTGCTTTAATACTGTGCAAATGCTCAATGTAGACTTCCGATAAAATCTTGCAATTTCAGCCACTCACATACCTCGTTCTCATCTCTCAATGATTTACTTCTTAACTTCCACTGTAATCATCTCCTTCTTCTTACCACCTTTCCTTTCAATGCTTTTCTGCATGGGGACCACTGTGTATGCTCACATAGATGTTAACTATGTGCAGGATTAATAAACTCTTGTCATCTACTGTGTTTAATGTAACTGGCAAAAAGACAGCAGAGGAAAGTGTGTACATCTCAGGCAACCTGACTTAGAATGAAGCAAAGCATTCCTAAGCTTATTCTTGTATGGAAAAGCAAAGAACTGTCCATAGGTGTTTTGAAGTGACAAAAAATATACTAGTGCCAGTTGTGGGCACCTTCCAATGTTTTGAAAAATCACTGATTTCTGCCAAACACTGTAGCCTGAGACTGAGCATCTGAGCATGGGAGATGATCACCCACAATCCTGCAATAAGAGTGAGTGAGAAGAATCAATGGCTCAGTTGTGATCATGTGATGCTTGGCGTCATGTACTACTTGTATTGCAAGACATTGTTCATTTATCAAGTTAAATTTTATTAGAAATGTTTGCTTGTCTTGCGGAACACTTGCAGAACAAATTACTCTCAATCCACAGGTTTACTGTATATGATTTGCAAATATTTTCTCCCATTCTGTGGATTGCCTTTTCACCTTCTTTACATTATCCTTTGATGCACAATAATTTTTAATTTTGAGGAAGTCCAGTTTATCTACTTTTTTTCATTATGCTTTTGGTGTTATATCCAAGAATCCATTGTTACTTCCAACCTATTTGTATCATTAGTTCTAAAGTGAGTCTCTTGTAGACAGCATACAGTTGGACTATATTTTTATAATCCATTCATTCTGCAATCTCTGCCTTTTGAGAGAATCCATTTATATTTAGTGTAATTACTGAATCCTAGGAAGGATTTATTTCTGCCATTTTACTATTTGTTTCCCAATATGTCCTATATATTTTTATTCTTCAAGTCTTCTATTACTGCCTTCTTTTGTGTTAGATAAGATTTTCTAGTGTTCCAGTTTGATTCCCCTCTTGTTTCTTTTACTATACATATTTGTAGTTATTTTCTAAGTGGTTACCCTGGGGATTACAATTAACATCCTAATTTATAATAATGTATTTCAAATTAATACCAACTTTGTCTCAATAGGATACAAAAACTTTTCCTCTTTATAGCTCTGTGCCTTCATGTTGTTGTCACAAGTTGAATCTTGATGCACTGTATGTCAAAACGTAGGTTTATAATAATTGTTCTTAACACTTGTCTTTTAAATCATATAGGAAGAAAAGAGATGTTAGAGAACCAAAAATAAATTAGTAATGACTTCTATAAGTAAACATAAGTAATATGAGTACCTTTAGTGGTGTTCTTTTTTCTTCTTGTGGGTTTGAGATACTGTCTAGTGTCCTTTAGCTTCAGCCTTAGGGACTCCCTTTATCACTTCTTATTAGGCAGGTTTACTAATGACAAACTCTCTCAGGTTTTGTTTATCTGGAAATGTCTTGATTACTCCTTCATTTTTGAAGATAGTTTTGACAGATACGGAAATCTTGGTTGGCAGGCGCTTTTCTTATTTTTCAGCACTTTGAATAAGCCATTCTGGCCTTTGTGGTTTCTATTGAAAAATCCGCTGTTAATCTTATCGAAACTACTTTGTACCTGATCAGTCTATTCTCTCTTACCTCTTTCAGGAATTTCTGTTTTTGGTTTTCAAGTGATTGTAATGTGTCTCTATGTATATCTGAGTTTCCTCCTACTTGGGAGTCACCGAAATTCATGTACATGAATATTTACATCTTTCATCAAATTTGAGACATTTTGATAATTACTTTTTTAATATTATTATCTCTTTTCTCTCTCCTCTCCTTCTGGAAGTCCTGTCATGCATATGTTGGGATGTTTGATGGTTTCCCACAGGCCTCTTGAACTCTGTTCGTTTTTCTTCATTCCTTTTTCTTTCTGATGCTCACATTGGGTAATCTCTATGGTTTTATGTCCAAGTTCTCTATTTATTTCTTCTCTGTGCTCAAATCTGCCATGGAGTCCCTCTAGTGAATTTTCCATCTCAGTTGTTGTATTTTTCAATGCCAGAATGTCTATTTGGTCCTTTTATAACTTTATAAATTTTCTTTATTGTTTCTCTATGTGGTGAAAAATCATTCCTATGGTTTCCTTTAATTTTTTATATGTGGTTTTCTTTAGCTATTTGAGCATATTTAATAGTTGGTTTAAAGTCATTAGTAAATCTAATGTCTGGAGTTCTTCAGGGACAGTTTCTATTAATTATTTTCCTGTCTATGGGCCATACTTTCCCATTACTTTGCATGCCTTGTAATGTTTTGTTGACAACTGGTGATTTTGAGTATTATAATGTGGCAACTCTGAACATCAGATTCTTCCTCCTTTCCATGGTTTGTTGTTGCTGCTTGTTGTGGTTATGGTCATCTGTTGGTTTAGAAATGTTTCTGTACTACTTTTGACTATTCTTGTTCATGTGTGGCCACCAAAGTCTTTCTCCTTTTATCTTAGTGGTCAACTAATAATTTTATGGGTCAGCTGAGGTTTTCATAAATGCCTAGAACAAACAAACAGAATCTCCCAGTCTTTGAAGATGGGCAGTGTATGTGTGTTGGAGCACCCTTCAACACTCAGCCAGACAGTGTATAACTCTTACTTACTTTCCACTTATCTTTGAGCAGAGCCTGCAGGTCAGACAGATATAATAGCCTAGGGCCATCTCAGGCCTTTTCTGAGCATGCTCCCCACTCTGATTATGCACAAGGCCTTCTAAATTCCCAGGTATATGGGGAGCTTTTCAAGCTTTTCTTTCCAGAGCATCTCATTGTGCACCTTTTCCTCCCAAGTATTGTCTATTGTTTATTCCAACTGTTATCCCTTGCCCCTAGTGGTAGCAGCCAATGCACTTACCCTTAGATGTTCATGAAAAATGCCCTCCAGGTAGGTGTCTAATCCCTGAGAGAGCTCTATGTTAGGTGAAATGAAAGCAAGCCCTTTTAGCTTAGTTGTTTAGGGAGCTGCCAGATAGGTCAAAGCAAACATCTACAGTTCTTTGAGAATAAGGTCTCTTTTTCTCCCTCCAGCACTAGGAGCCTATACTATAAACGTGGGCTGCTGTCCTTAAGGCCCTTGCCTAGCTGGTGGCAGGAAACGGTGCAGAGTAAGTTAAAATGCCACAAACACTCTCACCGACACTTCAGGGTCTACATCTTGATTAAATGTTCCTTTGCTTGCTATAAACCCTTGATTTATTTCCAGAGTTCTGATAAAAATTGCTTCTGACAGTACTTGCAAGTTTCTTCACTGCTTTTGAGGTGGGACAGATTTCGGAGTTTCCTCCTCCACCATTTTTGCTAACATTGTTAATAGTGGTTTTTTGATGAGAAAAAAAATTTATTTGTTACATTTGGGTCTACAACTCATCTCACATTGATTTTTGTGTATAGTGTGAGTTAGAGGGGTCAGGCTCACTTTTTCTACATACATATCCAGTTATTCCAGCTCTGTTTTTTGAACAGAATTTCCTTTCTCCATTGAATTATTCAGCACCTCTGTCAAAAACTGGTTAACTGTCTATTTCTGGACTCCCCACTCTGTTCTATTTGTCTATTCTTCAGCCAACACCAGACTTTCTTAATTGCTGTATTCAAAAATAACACTTGAAATCAGATAACTTTGGTATTCTTGTTCAAGATTGTTCTGGCTATCCTTAACTCTCCATGTAAATTTTTAAAATCAATTCATTCATTTCTCCAAACCCACTGGTGAAAATTTGAGATTGAGATTGTATTCTTTGGAGATCAGCTTGCTCATTTTCTCTTGAATCTGTTTGAATCAGGCTTTTACCCCCATCATCTTATCACAATAGTTCTTGTCAAGGTCACCAGTGACCTCTGTGTTTCCAAATTCATGAGTCTGTTCCTGGTCCTCAGTCTCTTTCACCTTTGCAGACCTTCTGATACAGAATCCCACAGGGTCCTGCAGCTGCTATCCCTGCCCTGTTTTATTTTACTTAAATTACCATCTAACACATATATATTCTATCTTTACTTGTTTGTTAGTCTCCCCACCTAGGATGTCAGTTTCATGGTGTCTTTGTTTTTTGCACTGATGAAACTTTAGGGACCACAGTACTGTCAGGAACATAGTAGGCTCTTGATAAAAAAAAAAAAAAAAAGTGTGGAAATAGAAGGAAAGGGGAATGGAAGAGAAAGAGAAAGAGAGAGAGAAGGAATAAGGGCGGGGGAGGGGAAGGAGGGAAACAAGGTTTGTGCCTCCACCAGTAATACTCTCTGATTACTCCACCACTCCATATGGCTAAAATGTTTGGGAAGACACTTTCAGAGAAAGGAATCTGGGAAACAAGATTATGGGGAGGTGGGAATTTTCTGCATGGTCCTGAAGAAAGAGAAGAAACAGAAACTACAAGAACTGATCACTGCCCCTGAACTCTGAAAGTCAGGGCAATTGCACAGGTCAGCATGCAGGGGTATATCCCAGACATCCTTGGGAACTCCCTCCCACCGAGGGAACAGAAGGGTGGAGCAGGGCCAGCCATCAGGCAGCAAGAATTCCTGCAGCCACTGGCCTTGCTGGGCTGTGACCCTGCTGCAGCCGGACAGCGGGTACTGCTCAGAGACTCACCTCTATGATATCGAGCTGTGACCACCCCAGGGACCACAAAGAGCACATCTCCAAGCAAGTCCAGAAAACTATCTCGTATTTCAATCGGGGAATGCTTGTTGTAGAAGTATTGATCAGCCGCAAGGTACAAATACTGGGTGGGGATGTGCTGTAAAAAATCATGGCCACAGGAGAGCCAGTCAGCCACAACCAACATGTTAAGCACTTGCCTGGGCAAGCATGATTCTGAGGTCTTTACATGCATCGTCTCATTTAATCCACACAGTGACCCCCTGATGGAAATATCAAAATTAGCCCCATTTCACAGATGAGGGCACTGAGGCTTAGAGGTTAAGAGGTTGTCCAAACTGGTACAACCATGATTCTTTCACAAACTTACTTGCAGCCAAATTTCATGCTCCTAATCTCAGTGCACTTGCCTCTGTGAGATGTTCCAGAAACAGCCATCCCTGGACAGAACTGGCTACGTGGTTTGCAGGGCAACCTTGTTCAAAAATGATACCAATTTCAAGATGGTGAAACATGGCGTTCAACCAAGTATAGAACTCTTCTGAGTGTAGACCTTTGTGCCTACACAGGTCCCACACCCAGGAGGCCTGCTTCTGGTAGTAGCACTGCCTCCAGTCCTTTGCTGATTTGAGCTAGTTGGTCTCTTGGAGTTCCCTCATCTATTAAAAAATAGGTTGTGTGGAGCATTACATGAGATACGAAGAAAGAAACATGCTGTCTGGCACAGAGCCCGTCTTCTGTTCTATTGGTTTCCCTCAAGATCTATTGCCAAATCCCTTATCAGAGCATTCCATGCCTTCTTGGCTCAACACTGGGCTGCCTCCCTATCTTCAACCCCTCAGCTTGCCCCCAGCACAGATGCCAGAGGATGCAAAGTAAACTTCATGAAGATTCAGGTGATGTTCTTGGGGATCTGTGGAATGTGGGGACAAGTTATGGCACCTCAGCCACTGCCCCCAGCCCCCAACAGGAAAACAGGCACGGTCCTGCAGACACTTCTCTGGAATTTGGAGGCAGTATACAGCACACCAGGCAGCACTGCTCACACTCGTTCACCAGGTCCTCTGAAGGCTGCGTGCTTTTAATCAAGCCCAGAGCAAGTCCAGGCTCTTGTTGCAGGTGCCTCTGACTTGGACCGTATAACCAGCAGACCCCGAGGAGCTTGAGGTTTCCAAGGTAGGTACAGCTGCTCTGTGGACCGTCTGGTGAGCCCCAGTCAGATATTCGCAGTGCAGACCCCTTGGATTCTAGAGCAAGGCTATGCCTTCTGCACCAGAGAACAACTTAATCATTTGAAAAGTACTTGCTCTGCCACCTAGGAGGGACTGTGAGCCCTTCCAGGCCTCCTGCACCCCCCACCCCCAAGGCCGACTTCCCACTCCTGGAACCTGGCTCAAGATACCTACTTTTGAAATGCCCTCTGATCAAATGTTCCCCTTTCCTAAACCAGATCAATGACCTCCTCCTCCATGAGGCCATCTCCAATTCAGCCTGCGAGGTCTCACTCTCTGACTTACATATTTTAAATATCTCTCAAACCTTAATCCCAGTTTGCATCACTAGATAACCAAGATCCCATCAAACATTCCCTCTGAGCCTTGGGGCCAGAGGGATCCCCTGCCTCCAGTCTATGGCCAGAGGGCTCTTTCCAAAATGGAAGTCCAATCACACCACTCTTCCTCTGTTCCCAGCCCCTGGGCTGAACTGCACACTCCTTTCAGAGCATGTAACAGCTGCAAGCACCCTCCTCTACTGCAGCCTGCCCTGCAGCTGACCTCACCACACTCCTCTAACCTTGGGTCCTCAAGCTTCTCTGGCCCCTCTTCCTCTACCAGCCAGACAAACCCAACTCATTCTTCAAGACTCTTCTCCATGAGGGAGCCACCAGCTTCCTCTGTGGACACCACAGGGCCTCGAACATTCCTCTGCTCTGGTTTGTAGACACTGCTGAAGTGCCTCCTCATTCCATCACCTCCCACCCCCACCCCCCCGCAAGTCTCCAGGTTCTGCAAGCATAAAGTGAGTGCTGGCTTATCACCGTACCTCAGTGCCTACGGAAGCCTGGGCTCTCAACAAGCATCCAGTCAGTGAATAAGGGCATGAAAGGAACCTGGTACAGAGTTCACACTGGATAAATGTTTACGGCAAAAGGAGGGAAGAAGAGAAAGGAATCCCCTCCTACATCTAGCATCTGGCTTAAGACCTGATACTGATGTATCTGTGCAGGGAGTAAATGGAAAAATGGTTGAGTCATGGCCCTTGGCCTCGCTAGAACCTAAAACAGTGCCTGGCTGGCATGTAGTGAATACGGGTCCTTAGTTCCGGGTATGTTTCAGAATTCAGAACTTTGCTGACTGTGGATAAATAATTCAGTACAGAGGCTGCATATTATGTCACATGCTCTGGGGGCGGTCCCCACATTACTTATGTCATCAGAGAAGCACATGAATGAATGCAGAGGATGCGAACAATAAAGCCCAACGGCCATGAATTAGCTAGGGAAGGTTCGGCTGCCCTGCAGGCTGTTTTTCAGGGCTCCTTGGATTTTGAGATTGTGAATATAAGGGACTGGGGTACTCTATTTGGCAAAGATTCACTGAATGAGTGAATGAGGAATGACTGTAGCCCCAGCCCCTACTGCTGAGTGTGACCCAAGGAGGTTTGTTAAATAGGTGAATCTCTGAAGAGTCACAGTTGCCTCAGCTCACTTACCAGGACCTTGTGTATCGAGCTCAGGGCCAGAGACCTGTTGAGGCCCCCAAAGATCTCAGGAAACTCGTTCTGTGGAGATAAGCAGGGCGTTCTCTGTGAGCACCTTAGGTCACCAGAAGAGAAAGTGGTCTCTCTGAGGGCTGAGGTGCCTGCCTTTTAGAGGGGAGGCTGGGAAGAGCAGGACCCGGTTCAGCCCCCAAGGGCGATATGCAGGAGTGGCCTTAGTGGGTTGGAGCAATGAAGTCTCTTCTCACATTTGCTAAAAGGCAGCCATTCCCTGCCATACCTGTGGTCTTGTGGGGCCCAAGTGGCTGCCCTGTGGAAAGACCATGTGATGAGCTGAAATGTGTCCCCCCGACCCCATTCCCATGTTGAAGACCTAACCCCCAGAACCTCAGAATGTGATGAAGTAGAGACCAGGTTTTTCAAAAAGTGATAAAATGAAAGGGAAGATAGTAGTTGGGCCCTAATGCAACCTGACTGGTGTCCTTACAGGAAGAAGAAATTCTGACACACAGATACCAGGGGTGTGTGTACACAGGGCAAAGACCATGTGGGGGACACAGGGAGAAGACGGCCTCATGCAAGCCAAGGAGGGAGGCCCCAGAAGAAATTGAACCTGCTGACACCTTGATCTTGGACTTCCAGCCCCTGGAACTGTGAGAAAATAAGTTTCTGTTGTTTAAGCCACCTGGTCTGTGGTATTTTGCTATGGCGGCCCTGGCAAACTAATACGGGCTACAGCTTGGCTTTGATACCACATTCAAAGAGAGGCCAGAAAAATCTCAAAGTAGTGATTTCCTGTCTTCTTTCTAGAGACCTTTACAATCAGGGCCTCTGAGAAGCCAGCAGTTTGCAGACAGCCAGTGAGGAGGCAAGACTGGTGGTTAAGAATATAGGCTCTGCCTGGGTGCCCCGGTGGCTCCGTTGGTTAGGTGTCCAACTCTTGATTTTGGCTCAGGTCATGATGTCACAGTTTGTGAGATCAAGCCCCACATCAGGCTCTTTGCTAACTAATAGTGCTGGGTCTGCATGGGATTCTCTCTCTGCCCCTCCCCTGGTTGTGTGTGCGTGCACTCTCTCAAAATAAATGAATATTTTTAAAAAAAAGAACAGAGGCTATGCTCGGTACATAGTAAGAGCTATGAGTAATTACTTGCTAAATGATCCGTCCCTGGCCAGTATTATAGCTTAAAAACATGAGAGGGTAGAAATACTCTTCACTTTTCAAATGAATTTCCCTTTGACATTTTCTGCTGAAATTCTTGAGATAATAAATCACTAGAGTAAATATTTAAACATCTCTGTCTCCTGGAATCAGAGGGAAGCTCCAGAGTCATTCAATTTATCCACAAGTATATTTCAACCACTAAGAACCTCTCTATATGTTCAGCAGCTAAGACTTGATTTTGCAGGATTTCCTAGGATCTCCAGTGGCCAACAGTGGATGTCATTGCAAGGTCACTTGAAATACCCGCGCTGATGCAGACTCTTGAGCTATGCAGACCCGGGCACCAATTCCCATTCTGCCACTTGAATAACTCCAATATCTAACATTTACTGATGTGTACTTGTGAAGCAGGGAGTAAGATCAGCCCTATATCACAGATTAAGGAACGGAGGTTCAGAGAGGTTGGGCAGTTCCCTTGAGGTCACACAGTGGGTTAACAGAGAAACCAACATTTAATGGCAGAGCCTAAATGCATGAAGAAATTATACACCACTGTCTCCTCCCCCAGCTGGGAGCCTTGGGAAAGGAATTTTAGCCTTTCTGAGGCTAAGTTTCTTTAACTGAAAAACCAGGAATAACAATGCCCATTTGCAAGTTGTCACACAGATGGTGTGCACTTGGCATATGGAAGCCCTCGGGATGGTTGCAGTGGTTCTGGTGCTGGTGGCCGTCATCAGTAGCACCTGCCTTCTTTCTAGCAGACCTGGCAGCATCAAAAGGCCTTACTGAAGCCACAGTCCGTGACTCAGACGCCTCATTTACAACACGAGGAGAAAGATCCTCCCTCCTACCTACCCCAAAACATTGCTCTGTAAGTCACGTTCACAATGGTAGAGCATGCCTTTAATAGCCCAATGGACTCAGGGCTCTGGTTCTCAACAGCCGCCAACTAGCCTTGAACCTTGGCAAGCCTCTGTATTTGATAACCACATTTCCCTCAGCTTAAGAGGAGGAGGCTGGTCTCCATGATTGAGCTGTGATGATGTCATGGATTTGAGCATTCCTCCCCTTCTGAGGACAGACGAAAAGTTTATTTCAAATTGAGACGGTCTTCTTAAATGGCAGGGTCTGGAAATCATGGCTCCTTCTCAGCACCCAGCCTGAGCACAAATAATCCCTCCTCAGAGAAGCCTTTCCTGACCACTGTTTCTCCTCCATGAAGACCTTTTCTCACCAGTTTCTGTCCTTCCTGGCACTTACCACTTTCTGAACCCATCTTTTCAACCTCGCGTTTCATCTGACCCTCCCCTGTAGGACATGAGCTTGCAGAAAGCTGGAAGCGTGTGACTAGTTTGCTGTTGAGAGCTTGCTCTTTACCAGTGTTTAGAGCGTCAAGTAATTGTTCCCTTCATACTTGTTGAATGAATAAAACAGTTCAATGACTTTGCAACTTGTACAAGCCCAGAGAGCATTCTTGGAAGTCAAAATGCTGTAACAGGACACGAAAATTGTAAAGGCCTGAAAATTTTCCAAACCAGCATGAAATTCATCTTGGAAGCAGGAACTGTGGTCATTGTAATGTTTTGAATAAAGCTCAAATGGATCCATCCTCTCTTACTTTTTTCATAGAGTTGTGTCTTTCTCCATGAACCTTATATGAGGGGCGGGGCAGATGCTACTACGGCTGCCTTTGGTCCTCAGCTACTACCCTCCTTCAGAGAGAGGAAGGGGCATCACCGTGTCCCTGGCTGCTGGGCTCCTGCACAACACTCGGTTTCACTGATGACAGAGCTCAGCACAGCTGCCTCACCGCTGAGCAAGCGACAGGAAGGACAGCTGGGATCCTTACCCTGGGCAGCAGGAAGCCACACTCGTGGTTATTGACTCCGATGATAGAAGGAATTGAATGAAATGTTTTTTGAATCAATAGGTCTAGAGGCTCATCAGGAAAGAAAACACCATCAACCACTCGAGTGAAAGAGTTGGTTTTCTGAAATAAGGAAAAAGAAAAATCAGCATCTGTTTCTGTTCACGAAATCCGCTGTCCCCAAGCCCCTAGCTAAGGAGGGTCAACCCACCGTGCAGTGGTCAAACTGCATCAAGAAAGGAAAAAGCCACCTTTGGTCCATCCTATAGTATTGGTTTTGCCCAGCCAGCCCTGCGCTTTCTTAGGCAAAGGGGCTCAAATTCTTTGTGCCTTACTTTCCTCACCTGCTAAATGAGGACAGTAAATAGTATTTACTAAGAAAGACAGTATCCTAGAACTGTGATTTTCAAAGTATGGGTCCTTGACCAGCTGCATCAGCACATCACCTGGGAACCTGTTAGGAAAAATTCTCAGGCCCCAGTCCAGGCCTACTGAATATGAAACTCTGGGGGGTGCAACCAAGCCAGCTTGTTTTGATAAGCCCTCCAGGTGATTCTGATGCATCCTCAAGTTTGAGAACCACTGGCCAAATGCAATAGGCAGAGTGGTGAGCAGGGGACGGGGGAATGGCCGAAGCAGAGGGGATTAGTATGAGCATCTTCCTGAGATGTTCGCCTCAGCACTGTGCCCTTGATCTGGCTGAGTATTTTTCTTGGCTCTCAGGAAGAAACCCCTGATTCTATCCATGGCTTTTTTGGGTCTCTGTTTGGGAGTGAGGATGGCAGGGAGGACTCAGAAGACCTTTTGCACTCCATCGGGCCAAGGACTTGTTATCTAGCTCCCAGACTTTAGCACAACTCACATCAGACCCTTCATCCATGCCAACGAAGTGTTTAACACAGGTTGGAATCTGACAGATAATGATCTCGCTCTTCCAAGGACCATCGGAAGCTCTCAAGATTGGAAGGGACACAAAAAGCTCATTCAGTCCAGTGACTGAAATTTGTCAGTGGTCATCTAGACTTTGCTTGCATACCTACAGAGGTGGTGTCTCACTACCATCTAAAGGAGCCGGCCCGCTTTCAGAGTTTTTCAAAATTTCCTGGTTATACCAGGCCAAAATGGCTTCCTAACAGAACTTCCACTCTTGACACTGACTTTAGCTTCTGGCAGCATGTGGAACAGGGGGAGTCCCTCTTCCCAGTGACTTAAAGACAACCTTTGCGTTTTCCTGAACCTTCTCCCAGCTAAGCAGCACCCCTCGCCTGTCAAGTTCCTTAAATGACCTATCATGGTTCTACTACTACAGCCACTACTATAAATAGTATACAAAAATAGTATAGCCACTAGTATAAATCCCAACCTCCATCTTTCCAAGTCCCACATCAAAGTGAGTAAGAGAGTGGTGGGATTTGTCTGCTATCCATTTCAAGCACAACCCTGCCCCAAGCCCTCCTGCCCCCCTTCACCTTGTTGATGTCCAATAACTCCTTGGAGGGTGTTGCCCTCAGGCACCGCAGCAGAGCAGCAGAGTCAGACGCCTCGCAACCACAGATGTGCGCAAGCACCTGCAGCTGTTGCCAGAGAAGGACCAGGTCAGAGCGCGGCACTGAAAGTTGCCAAGAAAATGAAAACTGAAGAGTCCTTGATCCTTCATATATGAAGCCTGCTGCCCCTCGCCAGCCCCTGAGGACAGGCTGGCACTGTGCCTCCTTATTCTCTCGCCTGACCCTCCTTGTCATCTTTAGCGACTGCTGGAGTGGGGGGGGAGGTGGTTGGGGAGGTGGTATGTCGGCCAGAGTCAGGATTCCTGGTCACAGAGAGACCGGTCCTATGGCATTGGCCCCGCTGGCAGTAGGTCCCACTGAGCCCAGAAGCCCAACTCCGGGATGCTGAGTGGAGCCAGGAGCCCCAAGTGTGAGGAGCAGCTTTGCAAGCATGACTTAACTGTCAGTTGAGGCATGACTTTGGATCAGTGTCAGCTTGTCAGCTCTGTTAAGCCTCACCCCCACCACAGACTAGAATACTCTGAACAGCTTTTTTCTGTCTCACATCAATTCCACTTCTCCCCACCTCCTCCGGATGTCCTTTCAGACCACTGCAATCCCCAGGAACCCCTTCCTCCTCTGATTTCCTGTTGCCTCAAGGATGCCCACCTTCTCTACCTAGCCTTTTCGTAAACCTGCCTTGCCCAGTCATTGAGCTTTCCACGGGAGCTTATCCCTTGAAAGTAGTGGCCCCTAAGTGTCTGGGAGTCATGAACTCTCTGAGAATCCAATGAAAGCTACAAACCCTCTCCCTGGAAAAACGCACAAACATTTAGAATCTGCATACAGCCTACAATTGTAGGAGCTCAAGGATCACCTCCCAACTACCCACGGACTCCAGGTTAAAAACTCTTGTCATGAAATGACTATGGTCTTCTGAGGTCAGTGTAGCCCTTCCCATTCATAAACTCATAGGTTCTAACATAGAGCTGGAAGGACAATGGACACTCAACATTATGTGTGCCAGATGAACAAACATATGCACAAACTGAAAGTCGATATATCGTGTGCCCCAAATCAGTACTCCCTGTATCTTGAGAGTATTTTTACAATATTATAAATCCATGTCTCTGCTCTTGGTGAACACTGTTATTTGCTATCAGGTGTGTAAGCAAATGCACCACTAAAATGCATAGTCCCCAGGAGGTGGCTCCACAGCCCCGTGCTTAATATTCATCGACTGAATCAGCTCATTTGTTAACTCATTCATTCAGCCAACATCAATAGTCACCTAATATGCACTAGGCGTTATGCTGGGACACGGAAGATACAGAGACCTTGGTCTCCAAGACCTCACTGTCTGGTAGGGCACTAAACAAGTTGACAGATGACAAAAGTCTGGGGTATATGCCTCACCACCCCCTCACAATCTCATGCCAGGTAACAAGAATCAGTCACAGTGTTATTTCCCACTGAATTGGAAACAGCCTCAGAATCTTTCTCAACATAGTACTCTAGGTAGAGTGGAGTAGGTAGAGGAGATGAGCTGTATATAACACAGGGGACTGAGTTATATATCCCAAGCGAAGATAATGGATAAGATGTGAGAACAATCACATATGCACTGATGTACGCGCGCGCGTGCGCACACACACACACACACACACACACACACACACAGAGTCATGCACACTGACTGTATTTCACTGGGAACCTATTTCCTGTCGAACCAGGCCTCCTATGGAGCAATAAGGCTCACCTTGGCCAGCATCAGATTCTTTGGCTGTAGTCAGTAGGTCAGCCAAGCACAGGGTCTATCAACACCTGACCATATTCTCCCCTGACCAGGTAGAGGAGAGGTGTTAGTGATATACCTACATCCTTATCCCTCTTATCATTAGAGAATCTCTTGAGAGGGATGATGGCCACCCCACTCTCCATGATGGCTTTGTGGAATAAGCCATTGGTCCTGGGGGACAGGATCTGGAGAGAGAACACAGGAGACCAGGAAAAGTTATCAGGGGACCCCCCCATCCAGCACACGCACCAGCCACTTTTCCTTCGAGAAACCTCCTTAAAAGCTCTATGCTTACAAAAAAAGCCCTGACTTGGGGGACTCAAGGACTAGCCATGGAGGTGTGGACAAGTTATTTAACCTGAGTCCCCAGGCTCTTCAGGGACCTTGAGGTCAAACACCCCGGTGTGTGATTGCTAGCTAGCTCCTTCGCTTCCTAGCTGGGGGAATCTCGGGCAAATTGTTTCATATTTCTGAGCATCAATTTGCTTCTTGTAAAACTGGAAGGAAAAATGGATCACCTATCAAAGAACTGTTGCGTAGAGTGGAAGTAACAAATATAGAAGGCTTTGCCCAGTGCCCGGTCAAATAGCATGTACCCACACAACGGGGGTTGTCATCACATATGTAAAGTTGGGTTATTAGAATTCACCTTACTGAATTATTTTGAAGATACAAAAATATCTTGTATACTGTCAAGTGCTATACAGCAGAAGCTCTCTTGGCGCATTTGTAGGTAACTGACTTCTGATTAACGTGTTAACAGAGGCCCTGGAGGTGCCAGCCCCTCAGAGCCAGTGGGCTGTTTCCTAGCACCACTACAGGCTTCTATTCCCACCAGTTTCTGAACAAGAGGGAGGTGTGTTGTCTTCCCAACTGGTCTGGTCAGTTACACTTGCTACTGCAATTACATAATCAATGAAACATCACGGGAACCAGTGAAATATGCGTGTAAAAAAGAAAACAAAACTGTTTGCGGAAAGAAACCTGTGATAAAGGCAAGCAGCTGAAAAATATTGTCAGCAAATTAGGTGTGAACAAGGTAAGAGAAAAATATGGTGGGGGTAGGTGGGAGGGGAGCAGAAAATTCCATAAATGCACCTCATTCACAGACTACAAAGCACGCATCTTTTAAAGTCCATGCTCACTGTAAAGAAGCTGCAACGGTAATTAGAGCACCATGAATCTGATGGGTGGTCTAAGCCAGAGAGCCACGCTGGACCCCTGGCCAGAGGCCCAACCTTGAAAAGATACCACACCATATACCAAACTGTAGGTTGGGAAAGGTACATGTTCCATTTGAAGTTAAAATACAATGTTATATGCACTCCCCCTCCCCCTTTTTAAAAAGTTTTAGGTGAACTTTTCTATTAAACAAGTAATTACCAGTCCTGGTAAATAGACACCAGAGCTTTGACCCTATAAATATAAGGGATTTTTCTTCAAACTGTGACTCAGGATGTGATCTTAGGCAATTCATTAAACCTCTTCTGGATGACAGCTCTTGTGCACGAAATGACAGAGAGCCCCTTACTCTCTGTGAGGCTTGATGGAGACAATGTGTATAAAAGTGTTTGTTTGACATGAAAGCACCAGTCAGCCATACGTGATTCACGGTCCTCGTTTTTGTAACCTCTCCCACCAACGTTTGTTCAAATCCCAAAGAGAACTCACAAGACTGGAGACGCTTATGGCTCCTGCGGACTCTCCGAAGATGGTCACGGACTGTGGGTCCCCACCAAAGAACTTGATGTTCTCCTGGACCCAGGTTAGGGCGGCTATCTGGTCCATGAAGGCCCAGTTCCCGTGGGCGTGCTCATCCCCTGTGCTGGGGAAAGAAGTAGGGTGAGAATACTCAGTGGATGTCAACCTGCTTCTTGCTGCTCAAGGAGTTCGAGGTGGAGGCTGTGGGTGGGTGGCCACTCCTGCTGGTGGTCAAGAGCTGAGGGTCGGAGGCTCAGGACCATGAAGCAAGCTTGGCTCTTATCCTCTGCTAAAATTTGAGGTGTGTGTGTGTGTGTGTGTGTGTGTGTGTGTGTGTGTGGTTTTGTTTTTGTTTTGTTTTACAATTTTATGAAAGCTACGCACTTCAGAAAAATGCACAATTTTATAAGTGCAATTTGAGGGTATTCATAGGCTTCCCTGAATCTGTGGATTCCAGAAAAGTTCTGTTCCTGAGAGTTAGTCTGCACCAGAAAGCAAGACCTCCCTGGACACAGAGCTTCTGGGGAATGACTACATGGCTAATAATGGTAATGACAGGGCAGTGGCAGTGAGCTGCTGTAAGACTGATGCTCCTACGACCTTCCCAACCTGTGAGGCAGGTGGTGCTGGCTTTTCTCCTTTACCCCCTTGAGTCTTCTCTCCACCCTTCTCTGTCCTCTCCCCAAAGGCTGAGCTGTATGAAGTGCATCATCCAGGCGCCCCGCTGTGTGTGCTCAGTGGGAGGCACTGGCCGAGGCATTGAGGGTGGGATAGTGAGACACTGGGAAGTTTATTCCACCACCCCATGCGCCCTCTCTGCTGGGAAGTGCCTTGGGCAGTGGCTGTGTCTCCTCTCCATGAAATCTAGGATCATGCCCTAAGGGTACTGCCAGATACGTGGAAAGTATTCCTGCCAGACAGGAAATCAACACACAGAGGGGACAGATCTCTCGCCTAAGCGATGGAAAGCTGCAGGTTTGGAATTCCAACCCAACCAATCTGGTCCCAGAGCCCACACTCCTAACTATGCCTGCATGACGCTACCCCTGCAGAATTTCACCTTTCTCAGGGAGGGCAGACAATTAATGGGGAAACAAGGGGAGATACCACAGAACCAGAGAAATAAATATCCATGTGAGTATGGGGTATGTGCCATGTGAGTAGCCCTGGGATCATATTCTACTCCCCTCCATTCTCCAGGCCCTTCACTGCCCCTTCTGCTAGTTCCCTGTGCCTGTCCATGACCCCTGGGCTGGCTCCTTCTCTGCCTTCTCTCTCCCACCACCCCCACATCTGGTCAGGAGCCAAGACCTGCCAATTTGATCTCCATCCCATTGTAGCTTTTATATCAGTTCCCATCCCTCCATTTCTATTTATCCAGATTCATAATCCGATCACTTATGATCTGGGTGACCTCGGACAAGTCACTTAACCTGCTTCGCATCAGGGGTTACTAGGTGGTTCAGTCAGTTAAGCGTCCAAGTCTTGATTTTAGCTCAGGTCATGATCTCACGGTTTGTAAGTTCGAGCCCTGCCTGGGGCTCTGCACTGACACGCACAGCCTGCTTGAGATTCTCTTTCTCTTTCTCTCTCTGCCCCTCATCCACTCACTCTCTCTCTCTCAAAAACAAATAAATAAGCATTAAAAAATCCTTCTTCCCATCAACGTTCTCATGTGTAAAACAGGGCTAATGGTGGGGCGCCTGGGTGGCTCTGTCGGTTAAGTGTCTGACTTCGGCTCAGGTCATGATCTCACGGTTCGTGGATTTGAGCCCCACGTCTGGCTCTGTGCTGACAGCCAGCTCAGAGCCTGGAGCCTGCTTCGGATTCTGTATCTCCCCCTCTCTCTGACCCTCCCCTGCTCACGCTTCTCTCTCTCTCTCTCTCAAATAAATAAAACATTTAAAAAAATTAAAAACAAAAAAACAGGGCTAATGGTGGTGCCTGCTTCGCATGTGGTTGTGACGACCGGCGGCCTAGGTACACAACAGGCACTGTGTACATGCTGGTGATCCCTCTAGTTGTTCAACTGCCAGCCTACTGTATCCTTGTGGCCTGCATCAAGGCTGTGCAGGAGCCTCCCGACCAGACTCCCCATCTGCAGCCTGGGCACCCCCAGCCCAGCCTCCACCTGCTCTGGAGTGACCTTCCTGAAATACCGCGCTGAGAGGTACGCCCTTAGGTCCATCAGCCTCTATGCATGGCCTGGCATTCAAGGCCTTTCCAGTTCAAGCCAGTCCCTCCCTTTCCACAGCCATCTCCTCCCATCTCCTCATCTGCCTGCCTACTAGAACCCAGAGTTTAGAAACCATTTTCAGAAACCTTTCTGCCAGAGGCACCTTCTGCAGAACCCCAACGTACAGTGCAGCTAAAAGTGGAATTGCTCTGGTCCCTCTCAGGCCTCCTTGTCTCCACTGCGGCCCCAGAGCCCCAGCCCAGGGCCTCAGGCCCAAAGCACAGCTCGCAAATATTGCTCCAGGTCCAGGTGCTGCTACCTTTCCTTCCAACCTCCCCAGCTTCTGCTCAGGCAGCCCCTTTGCCAAGTACGCTTGTCCCTGACCCCTCCTCTCAAAGCCAACCTTGTCGTGGAGGCGCCGCCTCTCTTGATTCCTTGCAGCCCCATCGCCTGGCGCTGCCTGGCACCCTCAGACCATTAATCACATCCTGCCCGGTAGCATGGATAGCTGCGTGCCTGTGTTACCTCCCCCAGGACCCCGAGAGCCTCCCCAAGGGTAGGATCGTGCCGGACTCCCTGCTGCCTTCCCCAAAGGACTTGCCGGTGGCCTCTCACCACTCCTCTTGGCTCACACTGTCCCCTGGCCAGGGCTTAGGTTCTGCTATGTTCTAAATAGGATAACAGAGGTTCTTGGGCTCTGCTCTGTGAGCTCTGGGAAGTTGCTTCACCTCTCTGTACCTCCAGTTTTCAACGGCAGGATGGGAATCAGAACAGTCTGTTTCTTGTAGGATTTCTCTGGGGGAGAGTTGAAAATATCAAGCAAGCTCACGGCACCATGCCTGGCTCGTGGTGAAGGCCTGGGCACGCTGGACGTTACTGCAGACAGGCAGGCCAACACAATGGAGTGACTACCCTCGGGGGGAGGGGGGGTTGCATCTGAGGAGCCTTGACATGGAGCTCTGTGACTGCTCACCCACCCTGCTTCCTCAGCTTCCAGGGCACACCTTGGGGCTACACTGACCACGTGGAAAGATGCCTGTCAGTCAGGATCACTCAACTGGACTTTACTTGACTGAGAAAGAGATTTTTATTGTTTGAAGCCACCAAGACTTGGGAATTTATCTGTTATACCTGCAAAGATTACCTAACTAATTTGGGCCACAGCTATTCAATGTCAGCGAAGTCTCATTCTTCCTTATGCAGCTGGGCACTGAATCCTCTATGGCTGCCATACAGCTGTGGCTTGGGGACTGGGGTGTCAATCTCTCAGGGACACTTACTTGAAAAAATCAAATATTCCTAGCCGGTACTGGGTAGTCACAATCAGCACATCCTCGTAGGCAGCCAGGGCGGACCCATCGAAGAGGGAGGCTGAGCCAGTCTCGAAGGCGCCCCCGGGCAGCCACACCATCACCTACGGAAGGGAGAGGAATTCTCCAGTTGGCCTGCTAGGCATTCACACCCCCTCCCCATACATTTAGGACCTTCCTTCTTTAGGGAAATATAACCATCTCACTTTCCTTTCAAATAGCAGCAGAGATTTTGTCTTTTGAAGAAGGCCAAGGGGAAAGCAAGTAGGCCTGGGTGTGATTCCCAGCTCTGCAACTAAAAAGCTGTGTGACGTTGGGCAGATGACTTAACCTCTCTGAGGCTCATTTTTCTCATCTGTAACATGTGAAGAATGAAAGTGTCTCATTTATGGGTTATCGTGAGATTTCAACAAGATTCTGCATTTAAGTTCTTAGAACAAAAGTGCTCAGAAAGTATTAACCAAATATCATTGAACTTGTGACCCACAGGAAGACAGAAATCACTGTAAGACGTGCAGGAGAGCAAAATCCACTTAAATGGTTTTAACTGAACTCTTTCCACTACTATAGAGAGAAGAGAAGCCAGGAGAGAAAAAAAGGGAAGAGAAGTGTGAAAACTTTACTATATTAATTAGAAAAATTGGGACTGGGCAACATAAAACATTCACATTGTACTATCGTGATTCATATACTTACTAATAAATCTTTTCAATTCTCTTTTTTAAGGCCATATTAGGGACTACAAGTCTTGGGCCAGGAAAAGAAAATAAGGCCACCGAGGGAAGAGGAGAGCCAGACAAAGCACTGACTTTGACACTGGACCTTCCAGTCACTGTGTGTACAAGTCATTTATGCTGGCCTTCTGCCTCATCTTCTAAATCTGTACTATGGGTTCAGTAATCCTTACCCACAATTACTGTGGGAGTTAAATGAGATAATGTACCGTGCCTGGCACACATAGTCAGTGCTCAATATGCATTGATATGCATATCAGTTGCTATGATCTGATAGAGCAAGTCTCTCATTGCAGTGGCATGGGAGGGAGATGATGGCTTTCCCACTCCCTTCTACAGAGGTATTTTACACTCTTAAATGAAATATTTAGTATTATTACCTGTCTTCGTTGCAAACAGAAAAATTGGAGGGTGTAATTACCCTCTTTAAAGAAGGCTTTCCCAAACAAACAGAGTCCTTGTAAGCAGTGTCTTTCTAAACCTTTACAGACCATTAAATACTCAACAGAGGGGAAAAACAAAACAAAATAAAAATCAAAGGCCAAGTCATTGCCAAGAAAGAAGCAATCAGAAAGGATGATAGAGGGGATCTGTCATTAAACAGCTTTTTAAGAAAATTATTGGGGCACCTGGATGGCTTAGTCGGTTGAGCATCTGACTTCGGCTCAGGTCACGATCTCATGGTTCATGGATTCAAGCCCCACGTGGGGCTCTGTGCTGACAGCCAGCTCAGAGCCTGGAGCCTGCTTCAGATTCTGTGTCTCCCTCTCTCTCTGACCCTTCCCTGCTCACACTGTCTCTCTCTCTCTCTCTCTCTCTCTCAGAAATAAATAAAAACATTAAAAAAAATAAAAAAGAAAAAAAGAAAATCATTGATGTGTCAAGTGATTACATTTCCCTTTTACCCAACAGGGGGTGGGCTGGATCCAAGACACCCAGCCACTCTGCCTGGGTCCCTGGCCAAGAACCTGCTGTCTGGACCCCGACCCCCCACCTGGCAGGCAGTCTTACAGGGAGCTTGGAGCCATTGTCTGCATGGGCTGGTGCATAGATGTTAAGGTACAGGCAGTCTTCGGACACTTCCAATTTGGGGTAATGCACCTTGAGAATGCGTTGATAGGAAACCAGCCACTCCAAGTTCTGGACGCATCTTGGAGAAAAAAAGTAAAAACCCCCAGTCACTGTCAGCATACTTGCCTGGGAGGGGCCAGGTCCTGTGACGGCAGGGAGGCCTGGCGTCCTGTGTCTGAGCAGAAGAGGCATATGGGGGCTATCGGCACAAAGTCTCATCATCTCCCTGACCCCCGCCAATGTGGCACAAATAAAGAAAAAAAAACCCTGTAATTCTTTTTGATCTGGTTTTTGGGTAGGAAAGCACGCTGTACAGAATAACTGTACCATTAACCTCCGGCACCTACTTATGCCTACACCTACTACCTTAATCCAGACACACACACACAGATTCAAGATGGCTCAACAATTCTCCAAACTAGAGGACAAGACACTGGGGTGCATTATCAAGGGTTTAGCTCTAGCAGATCCCTTTTCTGCACCCAAGGAACTAAAGGACATCTCTAGACTTTTCTACCAAGAACCAATGGAGGTAGATGTCCAAGGAGATTCCTGGGTCCGAACCTTTGCTCAAGCTGGTCCCTGTGCCCAGACTGTTCTCTCCTCATATTTGTTTGCTCATGTTCTTCCCTTTCTATCAATTTAATGCAAGTGCCACCTCCTCCAAGAAGCCTTCTGTGATTTCTCCAGTTAGACCACAACTCTTCTTTAGAAACACCTATACATGTTATGTTCTTTCCTAGAAGTTCTCCTGGGCATGTACATGGGTGTTACCATCTTCTGCAACTCAAACATGAGCAGCTTAAAGCCTAGGACTCTGTTTTAGTCACCTCAGTACTTTATAGCCCCTGGTACTGAGCCTGCTTGCTATGCAGTAAGATTGAGGGAGTCTATATATGTGATTTCTACTGTACTCAGAGCTCCATTAATGTTAATTGGTTTTTTAAAAATAAAATAGTGTACAGATTGGGTGATGGGAAATCACCACTGCAAATTTACCCCCAGGCAAGTGCTTATGCCTTTTTGCCCTTTTGTATGTTTATCAGAAATAGAGGCCTCACTGCTTTCAATACAGGCACCTCTGACCTCCCCCCAAGGCGAGGCTAGGTTGTTCCTTCTCAGCACCCTTCTGTGATCCCCTAAGGTTGCCCTTATCACTCCATATTTTAATTATGGTTATTATTTCCACCCCTACCATCCCCACCAGCCCACAGGTTCCTTCAGAGCAGCTGTAACCAACCCACTGTGGCGTCCCCCAGAGCCTAAGAGAGAGGAAGTTACTGAGCTGGCTTTTAATGGATATGAGTTGAACGAATAACTGAATGAATGAACAGATGAGTATCAGCTTAGTGTCCTCAGTCCCTGGGCCACGTGGGGTTTTCTTTGTGGCGTAGGGCACTTCCTGGCACCAGGGTACTCCTGCCTGGGACCCCAAGGCCAGGAACCAGTGTGGCCCAAACTGAGGACGTCATAAAACCTGAGTGTCAGAAGATTCTCGGGGGGTTTCAAGCCTCCCCTCTCAAGCTATGCTCAAGTCCTCCTCAGGATTCACCCACCTCAGCTCGAAAGTTTGCAGTGTCTGGGAGCTCCTGACCCAGGACACACGCGTCTATTCCACAGGTGTTTTTGGATCTCCCTGCGTTGGGCACAGAGAGCTAGAGCTGAAATCTCTTGCAAGTGGTTCTTCACCCTAAAGCCCTCAGCCAGTCTGGATCCTGGAGCCTAAGCCTGGGTGAGAGGTGACACGGACTCGTGGACAGAGACTCGGGAAGTCCATCACAGTGGCTGCCAAACCTGATTGGTCCACGAATCCCTGGAGACACTTCAGTGAATCTCTGGAGATGCCAATTTAGGAAGTTCAAGAATCTGCATGTTGGAACACCACCACCAGCGACTCCGCTGTTCAGCCAGCTGGGGAGCCATGGGATTACTGAAGCCCTTGTCTACTTGCGTAGCCCCCCCACCGTCCTCCCTGTTCCCCCACCTTTCCCGGGAGGGGGCGAATGACCTTTATTCCCCCCCAGTGCTCTGTCCCCACTCCCAGTTCACATTCCACCCATGGGACCGAGCCTGCTCTTACAATTTAGGGTAGGACGTGGCATCTTGGAAGTCATTCCAGGGCAATGCAGGCTTTGGTTGCCTAAATCGTAGGGGCCCTAGAGGGGGTGCAGCATAGGGGATCCCGAGGAACACACTCACAGGCACGGTGCTTCCCAGCACAGTGGTTTGCTTCCCCCGCACCCATCCCAGCCTGGTGTTCCTCACTGGTGAGTCAGCAGCTGGCCCTGAGGGGACAGACAGGGAGGAATCAGATGCTGGCTGGGTAGAGACCCAGAAGAAGCCCAACTAGGAGCTTCCCTTCAGTGGGGGCACTCTTCGTTGGCCCAGCCACTGTGCGACAGGAAGTATCCAGACTCCCTCTCAATGAACCCATGTCCACTCCTTCCTTCAAGATTGCCACCTGCATCAGAACACCGACTTAGTTTCTACTGAGAGCATAGCACCAGCCCACAACAGTTTCCGGTCACCCAGGGGAGCAGGTAGCCTCTCCCTTCTGCAGCACAGATTTCTCTTACTCTGGAACTGACGGATGCCAGGCTCTGCAGATCCTGGGATCCCACAAAGTCATCTAACCCAGAGTCCCCTGTATGTCGGTCATTTTCATATATGCTTTGGTTGCAAAGTATATGCTTTTGAATATGCAGGAAAATAAACAGATGTCACTGAAAATGAAAAATAAAAAGTCCTCATGCAGATGCCACCTGACATCAGGTCATCCACCTCCAGGATATAAGGATGGCATTTTGGGCAACCAAGAGTGCAAGCTTCTTGGTTTCCACATAGACTATAGAGCATTGAGAAGGTCACTGCCCAGCTATTTACTTAGCAGGACTCAGGTGTCTTGGCGCTACCTGCTCTAATGTCACGTAACAGTGGAAGTCCCATCTGGGCAGCCAGTACTACAAAGCATGGGCTCTGTCCTCTGCCCCTCCCCAGTGCCCAGGACAGAGGGCCCTGCAAGCACCCCAGGTATGAGCACCCCAAGGAGAGGACCCGGGTCTTCTGTGCAATACCCAGGCCCACAAAGGAGACTCTGTTAGGGGGCTTTCAGTACCTCCAGGACATCGGTCAGGTGCCCTAAGGTCACTACATGGCTTTCTATGAGCCATGAGACCTCTGAGAAATAAGTTTGTTTTGCACTAGTACAAAATCCCCCAAGATAAGGAAATCTCCCTACCCCATGTCCGGAGGGCCCTCCTCTCCCACTGGGTGTCTCACCCTCAGTGACAGCTGCAAGGACCCAAGCAGTCCAGAGCAGGGTCTGGCCCGGGTGCACCCACACCCCACTCATCCAGCTGGCCCGCCTGAACTTCCCGCACATCCACGGCCGTAGCTGGCCTCACAGAGCTTCCGTCAGGGATAAGAAAGGGCTTCTTGCTAGGAGACAAATGTTGAGCAGGCAGACACAGGGTGCAGAGCTGATGGAGAAAGGCATCAGACCAAGATGTGGAGAGGAATTGGCCAAGCAAGAATTTCCTGTTCTGATTTACATAAGGAGAAGCTGATGGTTAACTAGAGAGCTGGTGAAGGATAATATGGTAGGCTCTGGGCTCATGGGATGATACAAGCAGAAAAGACATTTGGGATCATGTAAGTCAAAGACCTCAGCTCTGATGCCTGCAGGGGTCAGGAAGGCAGCAAACAAGCAGTGAGTGAAGCTGGCCAAGAGATCAATGGGAAGCAGTGTGGACCATGGACAGCTGGATAGCACATGCCCTGTCCTGAAGGGGCAATGGCTTCTCAACTCCAGTAAACATTTGGCTTATGACAATGTAGGTACACCAAACCAGAAGCCTATGATCTCTCTTGATTTTTATATGAGGCCTCACTTCTTCAAAGTCATGATATAAGCTCAATGCAGTACTTACACTGGCTGCAATTCTGATCTAGACCCAGCACCCCGTGTAAATATGAGGAGAAAAGCCCAGAGAGATGAAGTTACTATACATGGTTCTGCTGGAGTCTGTCCTTAACATTCTGGGTTCTCGCTGCGCTGCTGGTGGGTCAAAGAAGATCTGGCTCGGGACCCAGAAGCATTACCATCCTGCTCCCGGCAGAGTCCATGCTGCTCTCGGGGTAAAGGGCCCAGGATGGGGCTCTCCAAATGCTTGGGGCTGGGTGAGCAGAATCAGAACTATCTGGGGTACTTCCTGATAATTGTTTTTCTGCTCTGCCGCCCCCTAGAGATATAGGGGCAGGAACTGAATCCATAGGGGTTTCTAGAAGCATCAATCTAACACATAGGTTTCCCAGAGTAATTACCTCCTGAGAGAAGCAAGGTTGTCACAAGCACATATTAGGAGCCTGCTGGATACAGAACTCTGCACAAGGGGCAAGGAAAGTCTTCCTCAAGGTCAGAGCAAGGGGCTTCTGGATGCATTTTGCTCAAGGCAGGTGTTCTGTAAGCCTTTGCAGGATATAAGTCCTCCAGTAAATAATGTACCTTTTACCCCAACTCTGGCTCCATTTCTGATACGCCACTGACAATGCCAGGAATTCTGGAAATAGGAATTGAGTGGAGTCCATTCTGAAGCTTTGATTCTTAATTCAGCAAAAATCACTTATGCCTCAAATAAACCTTGAAAACCCCTCAAATTGCTCCTGAAATCCAGTGAACAGCTGTGGAGAGCAGACCCTACGTAGGATGTTGAGGGGAGAGGGAGGAAGGGACTGCCTATACCAGATGTCTAGACGTTCAAACTGCCCACCTTTGAAGGGACCACAAATCCTGGGAGAGGAATGGGGATGGTGTGGGAATTTCTAAAATGTTTCTAGAGTGCCTGCAGAGTTTACTCATTTAGGTTAAACATTAAGCATACCCAAACATTAAGCATGCCACCATAGACATGGTGGCTGCTGCTAGGTTCAAGAACTTAGAGCTTTTTAGACATCAAAGCCCTTAGCTTGGGTCTGGGACATAGGTGGTGGGACATTGGGTGGTCAGTGGTGTTTGCTAGATTGGAATCTAACCCTAGCTTGTTAAGAACCCCCCCCCCCTTACCCCCGCCAAGGCTCTTTAAAAAGCTGCCTAAAAAAAGGCAACTTTTTCCCTGCCTTTCCAAGCAGGCCCTTCCAGGTATGGCTGCCCTAAGCAGCTGCACATCCTTGACCATGGCCTTGAGACCATTTACAGAGACCCAGGTTCTCTATTGACCCTTCCTCAGAATTAAAGGTGTCCTTGAACAAATCCATTCTTTCCTCTGGGCCTCAGTGTTCCCGTGTTATGATAAGATTTGTGCAGACATTTTAGGATTATAAATTCCAGAGACCCAAGCCTGAGTGAGGTTTCCAGAGCTGACTATGAGGCTAGAAGAACCCAGAACGTGGAGAGGTGGACAAGTTTCTGAGATGAGGAAAAAGGTTGTCGGCAGGGCAAGTAAGCGGCTCTGAAGGCACAAGCTTTGCCAGCTCAACATAGCATCTCCCTGCCAGTGAAAGTCTGCGATATCCAGTTTGTCTACAGTCTTGAGACTGAGACTGTCTCCCTGCTATTGCCCTCCTTAGTTGCCACCAAAAAGATTTTCCCTGCCTTGTAACTCTGTCATATAAAATATGAATTCTCTATACCATTGCTCATTCAATGGTGTTTAAAGTGCCTTCACGTGTGCTCTTATTGTACAACCCCCTGCCCCACACACAGGCTGATGCCTTTCTTCTCTAGCTTCTTACCCTTTAAAGCTCAATTCAACACCCATCTCTTTCAAGAACCTTTCTTAGATCCTCCTGAACTCCTTAGAGCTTTGCTTTCCTGGACCTTCTTGCCTCCTAATTATCTGTGAATAGGATTGCCTTCCTCCTCGACAAAAAGGTCTTTTCCATTTACGTATCCATCACAGCTTCTTCAGTGGGTCCTGGTGTTTCGTCATTGACCTTGTAACTTCACAGTTTGTACCATTCCCACTACTAACTTGACTATTCATTTACCCAAAATGTTTCCTTCAATTGACTTAAAAAAACTATTTATTATCAAGAAATTTGTATATAGCTAATGCAATGGAGATAGTATTTTGAAAGGAATAAACCCATATATTTTGTATTCCTATACTGCAAAATCATCCCCCACCTCTGGCAACCATAGTAAAGCTATAGAGTATGGTGTAGAGGACCCCAAAATAGGACAGAGTGGAGAATCTGCCCCTCCTGCACCATGGATCTTGGGAAGGAGAAGGGAACAACGGTAGGAAAAACAAGGAGCGATACCAGGTGCCCTGAGTCCCCGTTTAGACTTACGTCTCACAGTGGGAGGCGTGCCAGACAGGGAAGTTGAAGGCAGACTTGTTTCTCCAGAAGGAGACTGCCACAGAGGTGCCCCAAATCCTTAAACTAGACTGTGGCAGCCACAACCGAGTAGAAGAGGTTGGGCAAAGAGAGACCTCGGGTGATGCTCCTGCTTACCCTGGATCAGCGTACTTGAGAATATGGTCAGGAACTGGATAGGAAGGAGATCAGGGGACCCACAGAGGTGCGTCCTGGGCTTAGGGACAAAGTGAACCACAACCTGACCTGGGTGGAGCACAGTGCTGAGTGCTGTTCAGAGCCAAGGTGGGGCACTGAGTCACTTAGGATCCATGGGCTTTGACCAAGACAACAGGATAGACCACAAACTCGCCATGTTAGAATTCATCATCTTCCCAGGAACTTGGTGCACAGGGAAGCTGCTGTGGACAGCTCAACAATGCTAAGACTCACTCTCTCCATGCTTCTTATGTGGTCACATACGCTTCCCCCAATTCATGCATCCAGACACCATCTTGGAGAGGAGGGGGGAGGATGGGAAGCAAATCTGAGGCCATGCATTTATTTGAAAAAGCTTATTTTACTTAAAGAGATTGTTTAAATTATTGAATAGGACTGAATTTACCAGAGGGAACTTGATGTAAATATCTACCATTAACCATGGGGCGGGGCGGGGGGGGGGTTGGTTATGTGTGATGGTGGTGGGGGATAAGTTCTCTCTTCGTTAAAAAGAAGAACTAGTAAGTGTTATAGATACATATAAGAAGCATGTTGCAGGGTGCCTGGGTGGCTCAGTTGGTTGAGTTAGTTGAGGGTCCAACTTTTGATTTAGGTTCAGATCATGGTCTCATGGTTAGCTCTCTCAAGCCCCGCATGGAGCTCCATGCTGTCAGTGTGGAGCCTGCTTGGGAATCTCTCTCTCCCCCTTTCTCTGTCCCTCCCCAGCTCATGTTCTCTCTCTCTCTCAAAATAAATAAATAAACTTTAAAAAAGATTTTAAAAAGAAACATGCTGTGATCAAACTGATTCTATTTTTTCTACAAACAGCACTGAAAGAGAATGGTAGAAGGCATGACTTTCTAACTGCATATCTAATATTTGCTCTTCTCTCAAGGTGCCACCTCTAATTATCTCAGGTGCCCCCAAATGGACAGGGTATGCACTCTGGGAAACTAATATGGCTTGTAATAAAGATACTAGTTTTCATTTATGGAATGCTTTGTAGGCTATCAGAACCTGGGCTAAACGTTTTGCAGCCATTACCTTATCTAATGCCATTATTCCCATCTTGCAGGTGAGAAAATTGAGGCTCTGCAAGGTTAGATGAATTGTCAAATATCACAAGGCTGAGGAGTCAGCACAGCTGGGACTTGAGCCCAGACTTCCTGGCTCCAAACTGCAGGCTTTGCCATTTAGAGAGGAGGAAGAAGCAGGAATGAAGAGCAACAGGAAGGTTAGGGAGCATGACTGACTTCTGCAGTTCTTGGCCATTAAAAAATCATTTAATCTTCTAGGAAGCTGAGTAACCACATGACATCACCTCCTTGGACCTTGATGTTCCCATCAGTAGTACAGACCAGTGGCCTGAATGGCCCCCAAGACACAGACCCTTGATGGGCTCTCTCTGTCCTCCCAGACTGCTCTGCTGAAACCCTGCGGGAGAAACCAGAATGAGAGAGGACCTCAGTCTGAGGCTCGGCTTTGGCTTAAAACTTATGCTAATTGACCCTGCTACCAGTGGCTTTGGGTGGAGACTGGACTGCAGGTGGACAAAACAAAGGGAGGATGTTCTGGGATGGACTCGGGTCACAGGGGGCAATCCCCCTCTCACCCAACATGGGCCTGGAACTGGGTACCCTTGAGCTTCCTTCCCATAACCTTTCTTCAAACCCACCTCACATTGCTGCTCAACTCAAATGCTTCAACAGGATGTTCAAATCCTTTCCCATCTGGCTCCATTCTGCCATTCCACATGGATGCCTCACTGCACCCCATCAGCATACGCATATCACTGTGCCCTATCAGAGCACCCACATCACTGCACCCCCATCACTG